AGCCACCAGTGCCCGGCAGATCTGTTACTTTTCTGAGATGATTTTTTTTTTTAATGACTTCACAATAGCATCTACATTCTTACAATTAATATTTGTGTGTGTGTGTGTGTGTGTGTGTGTGTGTGTGTGTGTGTGTGTGTGTGTGTGTGTGTGTGTTGCTCCTGGGGTTTGAACTCAGGGTTTGGGCACTGTCTGAGTTGTTCCTCTCAAAGCACTCTAACACTTGAGCCACAGCGCCACTTCTGGCCTTTTCCAAGTAGTGTACTGGAGATAAGCGTCCCATGGACTTTCCAGCCCAGACTGGCTTCCAACCTTTTGGGTAGCTAGGATAACGGGCATGAGCTACCAGCGCCCGGCTTGTTGCCGTCTTTTTGAAAGTTGACTATTATTAATGATCCCAGAGAAGCTTTATCGAAGAACCCTCATTCTGAGCTATTCTGTCTCTAGATGTGTCCTTTGAATGTAGTCAGCTACTGGACTGTTTGCTGTCTGAAGTGGTTATGCCAGTTATTCAAAGTGCTGGTGGACAGTTGGCACGTTCCCCTGGCAGAAGAGGCTCTCTGCTCATACGCCAGGCTGTAATTTGTAATGTGTCTTGGAACCCACAGTTACCTGCAGAAAGAGAATGTGTGCTAGCACAGGATCCCATGTGTCTTTAGGAACGTGTCTCAGAAGGGAGGGTGATGGTCGTGGTAAACTGAGGAAAATAACTGGGAGGACTTAGTGGGTTTTCATCTGTCCCTTGCAGATTAGTCATGGACTGCTGGTCAGTTGGCCTTTCACAGAGCCCAGGAGTCATGTCTAAGTTTACCTCCCTTGGAGGTGGCAGGATTAATTTGGGGGGCTAAGCATCTTACCTCAGGAACCAGATTTCTGTTTCTGTGTACCTGGTTTTGGTGTCAGATCTGGCACTGATAGGAACTCATTGGACATCTAATAATGGTATTAACTTATAGTAATGAATGAGATTGGACCTCATTTTTTACACAGCAGAGTCGTGGTGGAGAGGGTGGTAAGAGGATAGGATCGGATTCTGATCTCCCTTATGGACCTGGTCAGAGTGTGATGGTTGGTGGTGGAGTAAGGTGAGAAGCAGTCACCAGGAGCATCTTTGGAAGCCACTTGGCACGTGTGTCCTCTGGTGGGAGCCATGCTGTAGTCCAGCAGGAAGGCAGCTCTGCTGGTAGTGATGGCTCTGAATCAGGGGGAATAGAAGACAGTGTCCAGTTGACTGCTGTGTTGTCTCTAAGCTTTGTTCCGAATTCCCAACCCAAGAGATGGAAGTGGCCCTGCAAGTCCCTAAGAATGTTTCTTCTACCTATTTGTATTTATCCTTAGAAAGGGAGCAGAGGCTAGTGAATGTGGCTTGGAACGTGTCTCCTGGTATAAACACCTTTGAGAACTTGATCAGACGTGTATGCCAGTGGGTGGGAGTCTGGGGAGCTAATGTTGTGGGTCTCCTCTCCATGTGCTCTTACCAGCATAGTTTCTGTATTTACCCAGGTATCCGTCAGCTCCAGCTGATACTGTTGAAAGTAGCCTTGATCCTAGGTATCGAAATCCATGTCAATGTGGAATTCCAAGGACTTGTACAGCCTCCTGAGGACCAAGAGAATGAACGTAAGTTGGATAGAGCAAATGAAGATGGCTTAGAAGGCACTGAGTGGGGGCAAACAGATGCGACCAAGGGAGAAAGGCAGAAGTACTTGCAGGTATTTACAGAACTAGTAAAGGGGCTTCATCCGTGCAGCTTATACCTTTGAGGACTTTGGACTTTGTGAGGAGGCCTTTGAGCAGTAGTGGACATTAAAGACATTTGTGATATAGAAAACCAGGAGGTGGAGAAAGTGCCTTGGTGAACTCATCAAAGCTGTTTTCTGTCTAGGCAACTATCCTCCATTCTTTTTTTTTTTTTGTTTTGTTTTGTTTTTTGGGTCCGGTCGTGGGGCCTGAACTCTGGGCCTGGGCGCTGTCCCTCAGCTCCTCAGCTCAAGGCTAGCACTCTACCACTTGAGCCACAGCGCCACTTCCGGCTTTTTTTTTCTGCTTATGTAGTGCTGAGGAATCGAACCCAGGGCTACATGCTTGCAAGGCAAGCGCTCTACCACTGAGCCACCTTCCCAGCCCCTCCATTCTTGTTTTGATTTGGGATTTTGTGCAATATCCTTGCCTAGATATCTAGAACTGTTTAGGAAGTGCAAATTTGGTCAAGATAATGATCTTTACTTTGCCTTTTGTCCACAGGGATAGGTTGGCGGGCACTGGTACACCCCAAAACTCACCCTGTATCAGAATATGAGTTTGAAGTGATCATCGGTGGGGATGGCCGGAGGAACACCTTGGAAGGTACTGGCTTTGTTCCTTTGGTTGGCTCATAGAAGAGTAGAGGCCAGTCCTGTCCCCAGAAGTGTCAACCCTTAAGAATTTGCACATTTGTTGATTTTAATCGAGTGATACTTCATCCTTCCTCTGGCACCTTCTGAGGGAACTTCTTGAGTACTGGGAGATGTGCTATACTTTGAGAGGTTGGCACTGCAGGATTTAACCAACATTAATAAACCAGCTCCCTCCTCTTTTTAAATGGGATCCCCAGTACTAGGTGATATTTTGGTCAGGTAGATTTCAAATAGTTCGTTAATGATTCAGGAGACATTCACTTCATTCCTGATCTGATAAAATTCTTTGGTAGGTGAACGAGCTTATCTACCCTAAAATTGTTCTATTGATTCTCATCCCCCACATTCCTTAATCTCTTCAACATCCCCTGCTTCATTTGAAGATCATCTTTCTACAGCCAACTGTTGCTACCTCTGAAAAGTTCTCTCCCTACAGGATTTCGTCGGAAAGAATTCCGTGGCAAACTGGCCATTGCCATTACAGCAAATTTTATTAACCGGAATACAACTGCAGAAGCCAAAGTGGAGGAGATCAGTGGTGTGGCTTTTATATTCAACCAGAAATTTTTTCAAGAACTGAGAGAAGCCACAGGTTGGTACCTCCACAGGAGTAAGGACAGGCAAACCAGGCACGGGCCCTTCCTGAGGGCGGCTGGGTGGGCTCTTGATGTCTCTGGGTCTGACTTCAGCCCGTGGTATGGCAGCGACTCTGCTGCTGCCTTCTGCTCTCTCACCACCTCCTCCTTTGCTCTTTGTGTTCTGGTCCACATGCTCTTACATTGTCGGTCACCCACCTGTAACTGGCCTGCTCTGGGCTTTGTTTATATTGATTTATTGGTTTAAAAAATTGCTTTTCTGCCTTCTACCACCTCCTCTATAGCCTTTGCCCCTGTACCTGGGGTGAAGCCATGGTGCTGGATAGAGCAAGCCTCCAGGTAGCAGTACTCTGGTTTTACTGAGGATCTGACATTAGTTTTTAAGGATGTAACCATCTGCCAGGTACACTGGCTTAGGTCTATACAGTAATGCCAGCTACTTGGAAGTGGAGATAATGAGGTCATAATTTTGGTCCAGGTGAAAACTTTGAAAACCTATCTCAAGAAAAAAGCTATACGTGGTAGTTTAATCCGAGCTGTGTAGGAACCAGAGGTAGGAGGATTGTGATCTGAGGCTGGCCTGGGCAAAAAGCACAAGTCCCTGCTTGGAAAACAATGAAGGCAAAAAGATGGGGTGAGGGGAGGTGGGATGTGACTGGAGAAGTAGAATGCTTACCTAGTAAGCACACCGCCCCCCCTCCCCTGCAAAAAGAATGTGTGCTTGCTCAAAAGCAAAGCACATGCTAGATAGAGATGTGCTTGTTGTTTGGTAGATTTGAATAGATTAACTTCATTTATTTGTTTGTTTGCTTGCTTTTTGGTCTGAGACTGGTTTAGCATTTGACTCTTTTGCTCAGAGCACTACCAACTAAGCCTTGCCTCCAACCCCTAGCTTAGTATTTTGATACAACTAAGTATCAGTCTTCTAGAACTTGCTTTCTTTCCATTATATTTATTTATTTATTTTTGCCAGTCATGGGCTTGAACTAAGGGCCTGAGCACTGTCTCTGAGCTTCTTTTTGCTAAAGGCTAGCACTCTACTATTTGAACCACAGTGCCACTTCCAGCCTTTTTTGTGTATGTGGTATGAGGAATCGAACCCAGGGATTCATGCATGCTAGGCAAGCATTCTACCACTGAGCCACATTCTCAATCCTACATTTATTTTTGATTAACTGAATTAAACAGTAGTTTACTCAGCTTTCAAGCATCTGTTCTGTACTTGAGTCTAGGAGACCAGGCACCAGTGGTTCACGCCTGTCAGCTACTCAAGAGGTTGAGATCTGAGGATCGTGGTTTGAAGCCAGCCCTGGCAGATACCTCTGAGAGACTTTTCAACCAGCAAAAAGCTGGAGAAGTGTTGCTTAAATGGTAGAGTGCCATTCTTGAGCAAAAAAGCTAACGAGTTCAAGTCGGAGTACTAGCATGGGCATGCATGTGTGTGTGCGCATATGCATACACTCATACGTAGGAGTTTAGGGGATTCCTCCTTGGTCACTGTCAAAGAGACTTAACCCTTTAACTCATCCATATCATCTTGTAAAGGTTGAATTCTTTTTCTTGTGTTTTTGTTTGGTTTTCTTATTCCATTCTGGGGTTTGAGCTCAAGACTTCTTCTGCTTCCTAGATTGGTGTTCCACCCATAAGCCACATCTCCAGTCTGGTTTTTTTTCCCCATTCTTATAAACATTTTTTTTTCTCATTGTTTTTAGGGTTATCAAAGGTTCTAAGTCAGTTATAGAGTAGGACCAAGGGAAACAAATCCCTCCTCATGAACTGAACACATAGGAAATGAGAATCCAGGCCTGGACATCTTTCCTGCCCGGAGTTTTCCAGTCCTGCTTCCTAGATCAAAGCACAATCTTTCTGTCTGCCATAATGCTCTAAGTTCAGAAACTCTTACAGTACTTTTTTTTGTCACAGGTATTGATTTGGAGAACATCGTCTACTATAAAGATGATACGCACTATTTCGTTATGACAGCCAAAAAGCAGAGTTTACTGGACAAAGGGGTGATACTGCATGTGAGCAATAGATTTCTTTCAAACCACTTTCTGTTGAACTGCTTAATATGATCACCAAGAGAAAGAGTTTTATGATCTGATGGAGGTTTTTTTCCCTCAAGAGAAAGAAAATGAGTGCTGAACATATCTCCTGGAAGCCCCCGTGGCTTATAATTTTAAAAGTCTTTATTAGGATTGAAACTATAACTAGAAGTAGAGTGTAGAGCATTATGAACTCATGTGCCCATCACCTGGCTTTAACAGTTACTACCATGAATGAAACTACAGTCTACTCGTTTCCCCTACTGTTGGAGTGTTTGAGACTATTTTTCAGATGTCTTGCCATACATCAGGTCCAGCTTGATTTTAGGTGACTCGCTGGTGGTTGTAGTTAGTTACATATGACTAGTTAATGATTGGACCAATAAGCAAGGCTTGGTGTTTATGACAGCCTTATGACAACTCTAAGTTAACTGGTGATACGGTTATTAAAGATCTAGGCAATACTGATTGGGTTAGGGCATGTTTAGGTCTCCTCTTGATTGAACAAGTGCCAACTATTGATCTTCAGCCAGGTTCAGCCTCCCTTTTACCTTTGTAACTAATTTGTATGTGGTACCTGAGTTGATGATGTGAAATTTGAGACTTACGGAGAGCTGTTGAAGTCTTACTTAATCTCCTGGTAGTAATGTTAGCATTACTGTTCCGATGTAATGAGACAGGTGGAAGCAGAGAAGTCTCAGATAGGCCAATCCGGCCTGTAGTTCCCACCACGCTTGCGGCCTTATCTCAGGGAGGGAGCCCTTTGTCTCTGCAAGATGATAATGCTTCAGGTCCCTCTGGTATGAGTCACGCTATTGCCTTATCTGAGTAGAGTGGGGAGTGAGCTGATGAGCACGTGCTTGCAGTACAGAGTGTGCTTTCCACCCATGAACCTTGTGTCTTGTTTCTCAGCATAGTGGTTCTGTATGTGTTCAGGGAGCAACAGGACAAAGCAGCTTGTACAGCCCATTCTGCCCAAAACAAAGGCCAGATGTGTTCGGCTAGATGCTTTATATAGTGGGTTTGTTCATTATCTGGGGCTGTTTTATTGCTTTCAGTAAAACAATTGGAATGCCTGATGACTTAAGACCTAAATGTGCCATCTGGGCAGAGTTGTGGTTATCAGTAAAACTTAGATAAAAGCAATATAAAACAGCAAGATTTGACTTTCCTTTTTTTGTAGAGATCAGGGAGTATGCCTTCTAGCGTGCTGCTAGATATTAAGCCCATTATGGCCTCTTAATGTTGAACAAACACTACTTCTGGGACCAACTTGAGTGTTTGTATTTTAGCTTTTGACATCTTGTCGTTGTAGCTGGAAATACCATCAGAGGCACTTGGAAACTGTAGGCTCCACTCTAGGAGAATAAAATCTTGACTCAGTGTAAGAACTTCTGGAAACAGAGAAGGAGTTTTTTGATCCCTATGTGGAAAGTCCATTTTTAGACAGCCTTGTTTTTCTTTATTGGTGCTTCCTAGACTTGCAGAATCGTACGTATGGTTTGATAGCATCTGATCCATGTTCAGTATAACGGCTGGACTGATGCTGCTCTCGCCTGCACATTTCTTTGCACTGAAGGTTTTGGGTTCTTCCTTTGGGTATAATAAGCTATGCAAGTCAAAGTGTTTTACGTCATCCTAGTTACTAAAAAGCCACTCAGAAGATAATATAAAGCATAAGTGCTCTTCCAGTGTATAGAGAGCTGTCACATATTTACTAGATATTCTGTTATTAGATATTCTAAACAGCTCCAGTGGATTGGCCAGGAATTCAGGAATAGTGACTTGCTCTTTAATGAGTAGAAAGGCTAAAACTGTTTGTAGGCAGAAAAACCCATTTACTCTTGGAAACAGGCTCCCATGAATCTTTTCTTTTTAATAATATGTAAAAGATTTGGCTTACAGCTAGGTGCTGGTAGCTCACTCCTGTAACCCTAGCTACTCAGGAAGCTGAGATCTAAGGATCACAGTTCAAAGCCAGCTTGGGTGAGAAAATCCATGAGACTCTTATCTCCAATTAACCACCAGAAAACTAGAAGTAGAGCTGTGACTCAAAGTGGTAAAGCACTACCCTTGAGCACAAAGAGGTTCAGGGATAGTACCCAGGCCCTGAGTTCAAGCCCCATGATCAACAACAACAAAAAGATTTGACCTGGGGATGTGAAATCACACGAGTGCGAAGAACAACTGTGAAATGAGGTAAACCTAACATGTGTTGCAGGGTCCTGGCTGGCTTAGCCTAGACTTTTCTTTCTTGTGTCTCTGTTGTTCTTGGACAGGACTATACTGACACAGAGCTTCTGCTCTCCCGGGAAAATGTGGACCAGGAGGCCCTGCTGAACTACGCCCGGGAGGCGGCGGACTTCTCCACGCAGCATCAGCTGCCCTCTCTGGATTTCGCCATCAATCACTATGGGCAGCCCGATGTGGCTATGTTTGACTTCACGTGTATGTATGCCTCTGAGAACGCTGCCTTGGTACGGGAGCATAACGGACACCAGTTATTAGTGGCTCTGGTTGGGGACAGCCTCCTGGAGGTGAGTGCTAAGAGCACTAAGGTGCGCTCTTAATCGCGTGGGCCGTAGTAAAGAGGCAGTCATGATGCAATCAAGTCTAGGTACCCATGCTGTGGGATTGTGTTAGCAATGTTGGCAGATTCCCTGTAAGACACAGACAGAGGGGTTAGGCCTCTAGGACCAAAGTTAGGTAAGTATAAGTAGAAATTCTGCAGGGTTTTTTTGTTTTTTGTTTTTGTCAGCCATGGGGCTTGAACTCAGGGCTTGGACATTGTTGCTGAGCACTGTCTCTGAGCCTCTTTGTGCTCAAGGGTAGCGCTCTACTACTTTGAGCCACAGGGCCACTTCCAGTTTCTTGAGTGGTTTATTGGAGATCAGAGTCTCACAGACTTTCCTGCCTGGGTTGGCTTTGAACCTCGATCCTCAGATCTCAGCGTCCTAAGTAGCTAGGATTATAGGCGTGAGTCACCAGCTCTCGGCATTGGTGGCCAAATACTTCTGTCAGTAGCAAACTCTTTATTTGTTCCTTAGTTAACTTCTCTCTTAAAAGATGATTTATGTTTTTAACGTATTTATAATGTACTATTGTGATTTTTTTTGTGCCTTTGGTATGTTCCTCCCCCCAGTATAACCCCTGATTTCACTGTATTTGATTCCAGTGCCCTGCACCTTGTATATACACTTTTCTAATTTGGGGAGGGGAAGGGAAAAAACAAAATGCTTACATTGGGTTACAGGTTGACCCATTGTAACAATTAGATGTACAAGACACTACGTTGAAAACGAGCTGTACAACTTCAGCAGGGGGAGGTAATTGGGGAGGTGGGGAAGGAAGGGATGGTAGGGGAAAAACAAAGGAGGAGGCAACAATGCTCAATAGGAAATGGACTCATTACCTTACTTATGTAACTGTAACCCCTCTATACAGTATTTTTACAATAAAAAAGTATTTTAAAAAAGATGAGTTATTTTAACTCCTTATTTAATATTTCTTTCCTAGCCTTTCTGGCCAATGGGAACAGGAATAGCCCGGGGCTTTCTTGCTGCTATGGACTCTGCCTGGATGGTACGAAGTTGGTCTCTAGGAAGCAGCCCGTTGGAAGTCCTGGCAGAGAGGTAACAGGCAGAAACCTTGGTCTCCTCCATGGGAAAACTGGGGAAAAAGGAGTGGCTTACGTCTAGGCCAGGTGCAGGCCCTTCCTTCTATATTTCTTCAATAAAGATACTTCTATATTTAAGTAAAAGAAAGGCAAGATAATGTTTCATAAAATCATAGACACCTCAAGGCAGTCTTAACTAACTGCTCCCCCTGAGCCCCACCCCATGGTCCTAGGGCTTAACTCTGGGCCTGGGTGCTGTCTATGAGCTCCTTTTGCTCAAAGCTAGCACTCTACCACTTGAGCCACAGTGCTACTTCCAGCCTTTTTTGTGATTAATTGGAGATAAGAGTCTCACGCATGAGCCACCGGTACCCAACTCTTAACTGCTCTTTTCTTATCCCCTTTTCAAATTGAATTGGTTATTGGTGGGTGGTGTCTGTACCACTGAACAGTGCTAATCCCTTTCTGATGAGCACATGAATACATGTAGAGAGATAGCATATTAGATCTTGTTCTGTATGTTTTGAGAGAACATCTCACAATTAGGCAACAAAACCAAGATCCTCCAGTGTCAGCCCAGAGTGGATTACAGGATTACAGATGCACACTTCACCACAGCAGCTGGCAGACCCTCTTGTCTTTAATCCAGGAAGACTTATGCTAGTGATGCCAGTGTGGTAATGGGCATATGCTAAAGCGAGAAATCAAAAGTGACTTTCTCACAGTAAGCCACTAAACTGCTCATAAATGTTTCAAAAACCCCTGAATAAAAGCAGATTTTTGCCAGGGGCCAGTGGCCTCAGACCTGTAATCCTAGCTACTCAGGAGGCTGAGATCTGAGGATCACGGTTCAAAGACAACCTGGGCAGAAAAGTCCCCAAGAGACTCTTATCTCCAATAAACCACTCAAAAACTGGAAGCAGCACAGTGGCTCATGTGGTAGAGTGCTACCTTTGAGTATAAAGAGGCTCAGGGACAGTGCCCAGGTCCTGAATTCAAGCCCCACCACTGACAAAAGCAGATTTTTAGAAGTCATCAGCTTTAGCTCATGCTTGTAATCCTAGCTACTAAGGAGCCTGAGATCTGAGGCTCACAGTTTGGGACAGGAAATCTGTGAGACTATTACCTCCAATTAACCCCTAGAAAACCAGAAGTGGCTCTGTGACCCAAAGTGGTATAGCACTAGCCTTGAGCAAAAGAGCTCTGACTTCAAGTCCTATGACAGAAATGAAACAACAAATAGCCTCAGATTTGCCTGCTGATTAAGAACTAATGCTTTAGCTGGGCACCAGTGACTCATGCTTGTAATCTTAGCTACTCAGGAGACTGAGATCTGTGGATCATGATTTAAAGCCATACCAGGCAAGAAAGTCTGTGAGGCTTGTATCTCCAATTAACCATCAAAAAGCCAAAAGTGAAGCTGTGGCTCAAAGAGTAGAGCAGTAGCTTTGAATAAAAAAAACTCAGGGCCAGTGCCCAGGCCTGAGTTGAAACCCTAGGATTTACACACACACACACACACACACGCGCGTGCGCACGCACACACACACACACACACACACACCTTTACCAAAAATTTTCTGAATGAAATTGGTAGTTGATACTGTATTATCATGTTAATTCTGTTTCTTAAGGCTTTCTGGATAAATGTGGTGGCATTCTTTTTCATCTGTTGATTCCATAATATTGTAGGTAAATACACTTGTAAACACAGACACACACA